TGGGCATGGTGGCGCATGCCTGTAATCCCAGCAACTCAGGAGGCTAAGGCAGGAGAATTGCCTGAACCCAGGAGGCAGAGGTTGTGGTGAGCCGAGATCGCGCCATTGCACTCCAGCCTGGGTAACAAGAGTGAAACTCCGTCTCAAAAAAAAAAAAAATATATATATATACAAAAAATTAGCCAAGAGCAGTGGTACACACCTATGGTCCCAGCTACTTAGGAGGCTAAGGTAGGAAGATTGCTTGAGCCCTGGAGGCAGAGGCTGCAGTGAGCTAAGATTTCGCCTTTTTTTTTTCCACTTCATTATCAATGCAGAGAGATTTCGCCTTTGTACTCCAACCTGGGTGACAGACTGAGACCCCATCTCTATTAAAAATTAAGAAGTAGCCTGGCGCAGTGGCTCACACCTGTAATCCCAGCACTTTGGGAGGCCGAGGCAGGTGGATTGCAAGGTCAGGAGATCAAGACCATCCTGGCCAACACGGTGAAACCTTGTCTCTACTAAAAATATAAAAATTAAGCCGGGTGTGGTGGCACACGCCTGTGGTCCCAGCTACTCAGGAGGCTGAGGTGGAAGAATCGCTTGAACCCAGAGGCAGAGGTTGCAGTGAGCCGAGATTATGCCATTGCACTCCAGTCTGGTGACAGAGCAAGACTCCGTCTCAAAAAAAAAAAAGAAAGAAAGAAAGGAAAAAAAATTAAAAAGTAAAATGAAATGTAAGTCATTTCATATCAGTTTTGCAAAGATACCTGCAACGTTTCCTCAAAATGGCTTCTGCAGAGGCCACAAGGCCCCAAGCCGGTAGGATCTATCCCCCTCTGAGTTGCCAGGTGAACGCCTACCTCACCCTATTACCTTTAGCTGACTGCTCCTCCCCACGACCCATACCAGGTGGCTCACTCCTTCACCTTGGAATCTTTGCTCAAAAACCACCTTCTCGGAGAGAGATCCAAGATGGCTGATCACCAACAGCTCGGGATTGTAGCTCCCAGTGAAAGCGCAAAGAATGAGAGGACGCCCGCCGGGCGCGGTGGCTCAAGCCTGTAATCCCAGCACTTTGGGAGGCGGAGGCGGGTGGATCACAAGGTCGAGAGATCGAGACCAACCTGGTCAACAAGGTGAAACCCTGTCTCTACTAAAAATACTAAAAATCAGCTGGGCATGGTGGCGCGTGCCTGTAATCCCAGCTACTCAGGAGGCTGAGGCAGGAGAATTGCCTGAACCCAGGAGGCGGAGGTTGCGGTGAGCCGAGATCGCGCCATTGCACTCCAGCCTGGGTAACAAGAGCGAAACTCCGTCTCAAAAAAAAAAAAAAAAAAAAAAAAAAAAAAAAAAAAAAATGAGAGGACGCCACACCTTCACATGAATTCTTGTTGCTCACGCACCAGGAGATTCCCAGCGGAGGAGCCCCACGGGTCGCCAGCGCGACTCTTGTGACCGGCGAGGCGGTTTTGCCGGCGCCTTGGAGCGACGGTTCTTGGTGCAGAGTCGGAAAAGCACCATCAATCTTAACGCCGCTGATTTGGTCGGTGCAGTGGGTTGCTCAGATTTCGGCGCTGAGAATCAGTAAGTTGGACGTCCACTCAGAAACCTAATTACAAAGACGGTGAATTCAAAGACCACAGATGGATAAATTTATAACGAAGGGAGGAAAACGGCCAAAAAAGGCTGAGAATGCCCAAGATCAGAACGCCTCTCCCTCAGCGGGGGATCACAGTTCCTCATCAGCAACGGAACAAGGCTTGATGGAGAACGAGTGTGTTCCAATTACAGAAGCAGGCTTCAAAATGTGGATAATGAGAAACTTCTGTGAATTAAAAGAACTTGTTTTAACCCAATCTAAAGCAACTAAGAACTTTGAAAAAAGATTTGACGAAATGTTAACAAGAATACACAATTTAGAGAGGAATATAAGTGAATTGATGGAGCTGAAAAACACAATACGAGAACTTCGTGAAGTATGCACAAGTTTTAACAGCCGAATTGATCAAGCAGAAGAAAGGATATCAGAGGTCGAAGACCAACTCAATGAAATAAAACAAGAAGACAAGATTAGAGAAAAAAGGATACAAAGGAACGAGCAAAGTCTCCAAGAAATATGGGACTATGTGAAAAGACCCAATCTACGCTTGATAGGTGTACCTGAATGTGACGAAGAGAGTGAATCCAAGCTGGAAAATACGCTTCAGGACATTATTCAGGAAAATTTTCCCAGCCTAGTAAGGCAGGATAATATTCAACTCCGGGTAATACAGAGAACACCACAGAGATATTCCTCAAAAAGAGCAACTCCAAGGCACATAATCGTCAGATTCACCAGGGTTGAAATGAAGGAGAAAATACTAAGGGCAGCCAGAGAGAAAGGTCAGGTTACCCACAAAGGGAAGCCTATCAGACTTACAGCAGATCTCTCAGCAGAAACCCTACAAGCCAGAAGAGAGTGGGGGCCAATATTCAACATCCTTAAAGAAAAGAACTTTCAACCCAGAATTTCACATCCAGCCAAACTAAGCTTCACATGTGAAGGAAAAATAAAGTTTTTTGTGAATAAGCAAGCACTCAGAGATTTCATCACCACCAGGCCTGCTTTACAAGAGCTTCTGAAAGAACCACTACACATACGAAAGGAACAAACAGTATCAGCCTTTCTAAAAAAATTATCAAAAAGAGCATCAATATAATGAAGAATTTACATCAACTAATGGACAAAATAGCCAGCTAATGGCAGTATTAAACTCACATATATTATTATTAATTCTAAATTTAAATTGACTAAATCCCCCAATCCAAAGACAGGCAATTTGAATAAAAAACTAAAACCCATCAGTATGCTGCATCCAGATCCATCTCACATTCGAGGATACACAAAGATTCCAAACAAGGGATGGAGAAAGATTTACCAACCAAACAGAGCGCTAAAATAAATAAATAAAAAGCAGAAGTTACAATTAAGCAACAAAGATCAAAAGAAGCAAAGAAGGACATTATATAATGATAAAAGGATCAATGCAACAACAAGAAGAGCTAAAGATCCTAAATATATACGCACCCAATACAGGAATACGCAGACATACAAGACTTATAAAGAGACTTAGACTCCCACATAATAATAGTGGGAGACTTCAACATTAATATTAGACAGATCAATGAGACAGAAAATTAACAACGATATTCAGGACTTGAACTCAGATCTGGAACAAGTAAATGTAATTAACATTTATAGAACTTTGCACTTTAAACATACAAAATATACACTCTTATCAGTACCACATCATATCAACTTAGAAGTTTAAAAGAAATCTTGGTTGGCTCCTTGTTTGCTATTCTCTTCCCTCATTTTCTTTCATGTCTCCATTATTAAGGACAATTATAGGCATACCCATATTTAGACTGCATTCTAGCCCGGGCAATAAAGCAATACCCCCATCCTCTCTCCTTCTTCCTCTTTCTCTTTCTTCCTCTTCTAAAAAAAAAAAAAAAAAAAAAAAAAAAAAAAACCACCTTCTCAATGAAGCCTTTTTTTTTTTTTTTTTTTGAGGTAGGATCTCCCTTTGTCGCCTATGCTGGAGTGCTGCAGTGGCATAATCATAGCTCAAGCAGTCCTCTTGCCTGAGGCTCCTGATCTGCTAGGACTACAAGCGTGAGCTAATATGCTTGACTAAGTGTGTTTGGTTTTTTTAATTGTTATTTATTTATTATTTATTTTGAAACAGAGTCTCGCTCCGTTGCCAGGCGCCAGGCTGGAATGCAATGGCGCAATCTCGGCTCACTGAAACTTCCAACTCCCAGGTTCAAGCAATTCTCCTGCCTCAGCCTCCCTAGTAGCTGGGACTACAGGCACGTGCCACCATGCCCAGCTAATTTTTGTTTTTCGTTTTTGTTTTTGTTTTTGAGACGGAGTTTCGCTCTTGTTACCCAGGCTGGAGTGCAATGGCGCGATCTCGGCTCATCGCAACCTCCGCCTCCTGGGTTCAGGCAATTCTCTTGCCTCAGCCTCCTGAGTAGCTGGGATTACAGGCACGTGCCACCATGCCCAGCTAATTTTTGTATTTTTAGTAGAGACGGGGTTTCACCATGTTGACCAGAATGGTCTCTATGTCTTGACCTTGTGATCCACCTGCCTTGGCCTCCCAAAGTACTGGGATTACAGACATGAGCCACCACGCCCAGCCTGTGTTTGGTTTTTTTAAAACTTTTTTTTGGAGACCAAGATCTCACTCTGTTGTCCAGGCTAGCCTTGAACTCTGGCCTCAAGCAAGTAGTCCCAGGTACTTGAGAGGCTGAGACGGGAGGATCATTTGAGCTAGAGAGGTCAAGGCTACGGTGAACCATGATCATGCCACTGCACTCCAGCCTGGATGACAAAGTAAGACCCTGTCTCAAAAAAAAAAAAAAAAAAATCTGAGGATAGTTACGGATTTCTTTGTTCCTCCTCCATTCACGCTGCTTCATTTGACTAGTCTTTTTTTTTATAATTTTGTTTTTTTGCAACAGAGTTTCACTCTGTCACCAGGCTGGAGTACAGTGGCGTGATCTCAACTCACTGCAACCTCCGCTTCCCAGGTTCAAGCGATTCTCCTGCCTCAGCCTCCCAAGTGGCTGGAACTACAGGCATGTGCCACCTTGCCCAGCTAAATTTGACTAGTCTTCAAAACACAAAATCTGAGGTCAAATATAGCCCTTGAATCAGTAAAAAATGCTGTTGCCCTTTTATAATTGGGAGGAAGGTCCTGTGACACACCCACTCCCTAAGGGATTCCAGGTAGGAGTCACCCTGAATCCTTCGGGGAGGGGTGAGGAGCACTGTTCCATTTGAAGGGGTCTGCAAAGCCCATGCAGCAGGATCGCATGGACCTCCTCTTGATCACCAGCCTCACCAGGGCTGGAAAATATCCAGATATCCACTCACCCGATCTTTCACCCCAACTCAGGGTGACCTTATTACCATTTTCTGAACCCCCACTGCCCACCCAGAAAGAGTGGACAGCAAAGAGATGTACAACAGTCATCAACAGACATTTATTGAGCTCCTGATGTGTGCCAGGCCAGGCACCAAGGAGGAGTACACAGAGGTATTAGATAAGGTCCTGGCCCTCGAGGAACTTCTGGATGATCTGAGAAAAGAAAAGTAGATGGGCAGAAGCTTCTGTCAATCCCAGGCTTCTCCCCTCCCTCTGTGGTTTCAGGAAATGGAAGAGCCAGAAAGGTGTACCTTGGACAGTGTCCAAGACATACATGCACAGGCTACACACGTACAAGACACATGTGCAGAGTCCACGCCACTACAGGACACATGTACAGACACAAGGTGGGTATGTGTCACACGTGGGCAGGATTTATGTGCAGAGTCCATATGTGCATAGACCATGTGAGTATGGCACAAGAACTCCATCTCCCCAAGCCAGGCTGGAGAAATGGGGGGACGACCCCAGGGCTTCTCAAGGCCTCTCAAGGCTGAGGCTGGTACTGGCCCTCTGTGGCTGTGAAGAAGTCCTCCAGCACACTGCGCAGGTAGTCAAAGGTGGGCCGGTCGTCTGGGCGCTCCCTCCAACATTGCATCATAAGTTTGTACAGCTCCTCTGGACAGTTGTCAGGGCGCGGCATGCGGTAACCTCGCTCCAGGTTCTGAATCACCTCAGGGTTGGTCATCCCTAGGGGTTGACGGGAGAAAGGACATCAAGGCTCCAGGCACTGGAAGCCCGCAGGCAGGGGTAATGTTTGGAATATTTAACTGACACAGTGTAAGCACCAATCCAAAAGAATCCTGGTCTTCATCAATGGTAAGGCCACACTAGCGGTACTTGCTGAATGTCAGTCAGGCCACTTGTAGTGCCTGGTATAGATTATTCCCCCATTTTTTTTTTTTTTGGAGAAGGAGTTTCCCTCTTGTTGCCCAGGCTGGAGTGCAGTGGTGCAATCTCTGCATACTGAAACCTCCTCCTCCCAGGTTCAAGTGATTCTCCTGCCTCAGCCTCCCAGTGGCTGGGATTACAGACATGTGCCACCATGCCCAGCTAATTTTGTATTTTTAGTAGAGATGGGGTTTCTCTATGTTGGTCAGGCTGGTCAGGTGATCTGCCCACCTCAGCCTCCCAAAGTGCTGGGATTACAGGCATGAGCCACAACACTTGGCCGATTATTTACTTTAAAAAAAAAATTGTTTTACATAAGGGATCTCACTATGTTGCCCAAGCTGGAGTGCAGTGACTGCTCACAAGCACAATCATGGCACATTGCAGATATGAACTCCTGGGCTCAAGCAATCCTCTCACCTCAGCCTCCTAAATAGCTGGACAACAGGTGCATGCCACCACGACCAGTTCCCCTGGTACAGATTAAATGCTCAATAATACACACAAATCAGTTGTGGGACCTTGGGCAAGCCCAGTTTCCTTATTTAGAAAATAAATTCTGTTCCTACCTCACAGAATTGTTATGAGGATTGAATGAGATTGTGCACAGAAAGCATCAAATATAGTGCACAGGCCACACATGGTGGCTCACACCTATAATCCCAGCACTTTGGGAGGCCAAAGCAGGCAGATCACTTGAGGCCTGAAGTTCAAGACCAGCCTGACTAATATGGCAAAACCCCATCTCTACTAAAAATACAAAAATTAAGCAGGCATGGTGGTACATGCCTGTAGTCCCAGCTACTTGGGAGGCTGAGGCACAAGAATTGCTTGAACCTGGGAGGCAGAGGTGCAGAGGTTGTAGTGAGCTGAGACTGCGCCACTGCACTCCAACCTGAGCAACTGTAGCCAGACTTTTCTCTAAAAAAAAAAAAATATATATATATATATATATATATATATACATATACACACATACACACACACACACACACACACACACACATATAGCTGGGCAACAGAGAAAGACTCTGTCTAAAATAAATAAATAAAGGGCACCTGGGAATATTATTATTTGGTGGGAATGATGAGACGGTCAGGGTGCAGGGCAGGATGGGCACCCACAACCAAGGCAGTGGTGAGGTCTCTCCAGTTTTAAGACCAGGCACATGACATCTTGCATCAGGAAGCTACATGGACCCTGGGCCTCAGCAAAGTAGACCTTGCTTGGGGTTGCGAAGGTTTACCAAGCCCCTCCATGATGCAGATGAAATAGTCTTTGAAGTGGTTCCCTCCTTTTATGCTAGTCCTGGCCCCTCTGGCAGGCTTTTGGCACGTGGACCCCAAGAAGAGCTGCTCTGGAGAACTGCGTGATCACAGCAGTAACATAGCTCCCTCCGTCCCTGTTTCCAAATTGTCCATATAGTGTCTGGTTTTTCCTTCAGTCTTCTGAACAAAGACTGTGACAAGCAGTTCCCAAAGACCAAAACCTTATAGGATACTGACAAAATAGAAGTTTTGCTCCTGCGAAGCTTGGGACTAAAGCCTTGGGACCAGGCAGTCCACAGAGACCCTTCTTCCCCAGGACTTGGACAAGGGAGGCCTCTACCTATGGGACTCTCACATTTTAAAATTAAGGCATTGGAGGACATAGGCCACGGAACTAAACACCCATGGCCAGAGTCAAGGGTGCAAGCCCACAGGGCCCACAGATCACTTTGGATTGGCCCTGGAGTGCTTTTATTTATTTATTTGTACGTATGTATGTATGTATGTATGTATGTGTATACATATGTATTTTTGATATGGAGTCTCACTCCGTCACCCAGGTTGGAATGCAATGGTGAAATCTCAGCTCACTACAACCTCCACCTCCTGGGTTCAAGTAATTCTCCTGCCTCAGCCTCCTGAGTAGCTGGGACTACAGGTGCCCACCACCACGGCAGCTAATTTTTCTGTATTTTTAGGAGACACAAGGTTTTTGGCCAGGCTGGTCTCAAACTCCTGATCTCGTGATCTGCCGACCTCAGCCTCCCAAAGTACTGGGATTACAGGCATAAGCCATCGTACCCAGCCCCTAGAGTGCTTTTAAACAATTTGAATCAATTGCCAAAATTTGGAAATGAACAAATTTTTCTAAAACTCCAAGTTTTGGCTTCTCTTAAAAAAACAGAAGATCAATTGGGGAGGGGCGGGGGCGTGCCTTAATTGCGGCCATCTGCCGCACAGCTGCAAGTTTAACAAGGTCCCCATTTCTCCCCATTGTCTCCCTGACCCTAATGCTACATGTCAGTTGCCATTTATCATCATGCTTTCACTGCCTATCTTCTTCTAATAGAGACATTCCCTATGGAGTTGCCTCTGTGAGCACAGAGGAGGAGCAATGAGGACCCCTGGGAGGATAACTGGAGAGTATTTCCAGCCCCAGCATTACCAGTGGACGCTGGGTTGGGGCAAGCCCAGTGAAGGGAAGCCCCTCAGCTTTTCACCTGTCTCCAAGGTGTCTTTACCTTCCTAAGAGCAAGGGTCTGTTCACCTTGCTCTGGGGATGTGGGAGGTCTCTACAAATTTAGCCACTGTGCTCCATGGCCTCCTTACTCCTCTTCGCACTCCATTTCCTTTCCCCAGAGTTTCTTCGAAAGTTGGTTAAAAAAAAAAAAAAAAAAAAAATCCATCCCTGTCTTGGCTGAATTCAGGGGTAAAGGGTTTTGTCCAGGAGATGGTGAGGGGCGTCAGTGTATTACTGATCATCTACTATGAGTCAGCCTCTTTTACAAATGATCTCTCAATTTTCTCTCTCTCTCTCTCTTTCTCTCTCTCTCTTTTTTGGTGTTTTGCTTGTTTGTTTTTGAGGCAAGGTCTCCCTCCGTTGCTCAGGCTGGAGTGCAATGGAGCAATCATGGCTCACTGCACCCTCAAACTCCTGAGCTCAAGCAATCCTCCCACCTCAGCCTCCCAAATAGCTGAAACTACAGATGTGTGCTACCATGCCCAGCTAATTTTTATTTTTTTGAGACAGCGTCTTGCTCTGTTGCCCTAGGCTGGAGTGCTATGGCATGGTCTTGGCTCACTACAACCTCTGCCTCCCTGTGTCAGGTGATCCTCCTTTCTCAGCCTCCTGAGTAGCTGGAACTACAGGCACATGCCACAAAACCTGGCTAATTTTTGTTTTTGTAGAGATGAGGTTTCAACATGTTGCCCAGCTGGTCTTAAACCCCTGGGCTCAAGTATTCCCCGACCTTGGTCTCCCAAGGTTCTGGGTATAGGCATGAGCCACTGTACCTGGCCTAGTCTCTTATCTCATATTTAACGATGGGAAAAAAAGGAATGATCAATCAAAGCCAAACAGAAAGTTAGCAGCAGTGGCGGATGTGCTAATAAAAGTTAGGCCTCGCCGGGCGCGGTGGCTCAAGCCTGTAATCCCAGCACTTTGGGAGGCCGAGGCAGGTGGATCACGAGGTCAAGAGATCGAGACCATCCTGGTCAACATGGTGAAACCCTGTCTCTACTAAAAATACAAAAAAAAATAGCTGGGCATGGTGGCACGTGCCTGTAATCCCAGCTACTCAGGAGGCTGAGGCAGGAGAATTGCCTGAACCCAGGAGGCGGAGGTTGCGGTGAGCCGAGGTCGCGCCATTGCACTCCAGCCTGAGTAACAAGAGCAACACTCCGTCTCAAAAAAAAAAAAAAAAAGAAAAGAAAAGAAAAAAAAAGAAAAGTTAGGCCTCAGGCAGGATTGGGGCTCACACCTGTAATCCCAGCACTTTGGGAAGCCAAGGCGGGCAGATCACAAGGTCAGAAGATCCAGACAATCTTGGCTAACACAGTGAAACCTCGTCTGTACCAAAAACACAAAAAATTACCTGAGGGTAGTGGCAGGCACCTGCAGTCCCAGCTACTCGGGGGGCTGAGGCAGGAGAATCGCTTGAACCCGGCAGGTAGAGGTTGCAGTGAGCCAAGATCGTGCCACTGCACTCCAGCCTGGGCGACAGAGCAAGACTCCATCTCAAAAAAAAAAAAAAAAAAAAAAAAGATAGGCCTCTTGCTCCTGAGCTAGATCCTCTTCTACCATACTAGGCTGCCTGGGCCGGAACTAAAGAAAAGAGCTGGGGTCGGCCGGGCGCGGTGGCTCAAGCCTGTAATCCCAGCACTTTGGGAGGCCGAGGCGGGTGGATCACGAGGTCAAGAGATCGAGACCATCCTGGTCAACATGGTGAAACCCCGTCTCTACTAAAAATACAAAAAAATTAGCTGGGCATAGTGGCGCATGCCTGTAATCCCAGCTACTCAGGAGGCTGAGGCAGGAGAATTGCTTGAACCCAGGAGGCGGAGGTTGCGGTGAGCCGAGATCGCGCCATTGCACTCCAGCCTGGGTAACAAGAGCGAAACTCCGTCTCAAAAAAAAAAAAAAAAAAAAAAAAGAAAAGAGCTGGGGTTAGTAAAGAGAGATACAGAGATGGAAACCAGCCCTGGGAGATGTGGCATCTGCCTGAAGATGTTGGAGTCACACCCGTGAGAGGATAGAGGAGATGCAGCTACAAAGTTTCAGAATCTGAGACTGGAAAGAATTGAGTGGGAAGACATGGACTTGCTGCCCCTCCCATCGCCCTTTCAGTTCTTGCCTTTGGCTCTGACCTGGGTAAGGGATGCGGCCGTGGGTGACAATTTCCGTCATCAGGATCCCAAAAGACCACACATCTGACTTGATGGTGAATGTCCCGTAGTTAATGGCTTCTGGTGCTGTCCACTTAATGGGAAACTTGGCCCCTACGGAGGAGGCAGAGTGAGGTCACCTGGGTCTGCTGGGCCAGACCCTGTAGGGCCCAGACCATCCTTAAATCTCACACTTACCCTCCCTGGCTGTGTACTCGTTGTCCTCAATGAGGCGTGCTAGGCCAAAGTCTGCAATCTTGCAGCTCAGGGTGTCAGACACCAGAATGTTGGCAGCCCGCAGGTCACGATGAATATAATTCCTCTCTTCAAGGAATGCCATGCCTTCTACAATCTGCAGGCCAAACACAGATCAGCAGTCCTGAGCCAGATGTCCTCAAGCCACTGGCCTGTGCCCTTGCCCAGCCTCTCCTCAGTCTCCTTACTTGGGCTGCCATGTCCAAGAGTTTGTTGATGGTCAACTTGATGCCTGAAGGGGTCTTGAGAAAATCCACTAGACTCCCTGTGGGCAGAAGCAAGAGTTGCTGACCCAAGTTCTCCCAGGGGGAGGTCCCCAGACCCTTCTTCTCCAACTGGGCATCTAGAAGTGTGACTGACACATAAAAGGAAAAGTGGGCTGGGTGCAGTGGCTCATGCCTGTAATCCCAACACTTTTGGAGGCCGAGGTAGGCAGATCATCAGGTCAGGAGATCGAGACCATCCTAGCTAACACAGTGGAAACCCTGTCTCTACTAAAAATACAAAAATTAGCTGAGTCCCAGCTCCTCTGGATGCTGAGGCAGGAGAATCACTTAAACCTGGGAGGCAGAAGTTGCAGTGAGCCAAGGTTGTGCCACTGGACTCCAGCCTAGGCGACAGAGCGAGACTCCATCTCAAAAAAAAAAAAAGAAAAGAAAAGGTGGCCAGTTGCGGTGGCTCACGCCTGTAATCCTAACACTTTGGGAGACCAAGGTGGGTGGATCACCTGAGATCAGGAGTTCAAGACCAGCCTGGCCATCATGGTGAAACCCCATCTTTAAAAAAAAAAAAAAGAAAAGAAAAGAAAAGAAAAGGAAGAGTGGAGAGTGAGAATGGAGGAGTGTGTGTTCAGGGTAAGGATGTCCAGGATATGTAAAGGTTTTTTTC